AGGACAGGCAGGAGGAGGTCCAGTGTCTGGCCGCCGCTTCACCTCATCTCACGTCCGTACTGCTCGCCCCTGAGGGAGACCCGGATGCACTAGACATCCCGACTCCGCGCTCTTACGCGGAGGCGATAGAGGGTCCCTACTCCTCTCAGTGGCACGCAGCTATGGATGCAGAGATGGCTTCCTGGAAGTCCACAGGCACCTACGTTGACGCTGTTCCCCCTCCTGGGGCGAACATAGTCAGTGGCATGTGGATTTTCAGGGTGAAGCGGCCGCCGGGTTCTCCGCCTGTCTTCAAGGCGCGTTACGTGGCTCGTGGCTTCAGTCAGCGGCAGGGAGTTGATAACTTTCAGACCTTCTCCCCCACCCCGAAGATGACCACTCTTCGGGTACTGCTGCACGTTGCTGCCCACCGTGCCTACGAGCTGCAGTCTCTCGACTTCAGCACTGCTTTCTTGCAGGGCAGCCTGCACGAGGAGATCTGGCTGCGTCGCCCTCCTGGCTTCACTAGGTCTTTCCCTCCTGGTACCCAGTGGAGTCTCCGGCGTCCAGTCTACGGTCTACGCCAGGCGCCACGTGAGTGGCACAACACACTGAGGACTACGCTTGCGGCTCTTGGGTTTGTTCCTTCTATTGCCGACCCGTCGCTGTTTCTGCGCACCGACACCTCTCTGCCGCCGTTCTACATCCTCGTGTACGTCGACGACTTGGTCTTTGCCACAGCTGACACTGCTGGACTTGCCTACGTGAAGTCCGAGCTGCAGAAGAGACACACGTGCACTGACCTGGGTGAACTGCGCAGCTACCTTGGCTTGCAGATCACCCGGGACAGAGCACGCCGCACCATTACCCTGACTCAGTCACACATGGTGCAGCAGGTCCTTCAGCGCTTCGGCTTCACGTACTCCTCGCCTCAGGCCACTCCTCTGCCTACTCGCCACTCGCTCTCAGCTCTGCCTTCGGATGAGTCCGTAGAGTCGAGTGGTCCGTACGCAGAGCTTGTTGGCTGCCTCATGTACCTGATGACCTGCACACGACCTGACCTTGCATACCCTCTTAGCATTCTCGCACGCTATGTTGCTCCTGGGAGACACCGACCAGAGCACATGGCTGCAGCGAAGAGGGTGTTGCGCTACTTGTGCAGTACGTCGGGCATGGGGCTAGTGCTTGGAGGGCGCAGTCCAGTGGTCCTTACTTGGCACGCGGACGCTTCTTGGGCTGATGACCAGGCTACGCAGCGGTCGTCACAGGGTTACACCTTCAGCCTTGGTTCCGGCTCTGTTTCGTGGCGGGCTACCCGCTCGTCTTCTGTTCTCGGCTCCAGTTGTGAGGCTGAGATCTACGCCGGGGCTATGGCTACTCAGGAGCTTCGCTGGCTCACCTACCTGCTGACCAACCTTGGAGAGCCGCCTCGTTCTCCTCCAGTCCTGTACGTAGACAACAAGGCCATGCTGGCCTTGTGTCGAGAGCAGCGACTGGAGCACAGGACAAAGCACATTGCTCTCCGCTACTTTCTTGCTCGTGAGCTACAGCAGCGTGGACAGTTGCGACTTGCGTACGTGGCCTCTGAGGCCAACACTGCTGATGTCTTCACCAAGGCACTTGCGCCTTGTGATCATCAGCGTTGCTGCACGCAGCTGGGTCTTGTGCCTGTCTTGCCTCACTTGCTCACTTCTTGACCTTGCTTGTACCTTGACCTATATATACTCTTGTTCTTGCTTGCTTGACTCTTGTATATCTCTATATATGCTCTTGCATGTGAGCTGGCCTTGTGGCCCTTGAACTTGTGCTCGGAATGTGTGGTGACTTTGTGATCCACCCTGAGCTTTGCTTTGCTTTGCTTGACTGGTCTTGTGACCCCTTGTTCTCCCCCACTTTGCCTATGGGGGTGTGTCAGAATATTATAGCTTACTTATTTGTGTAGGCTATAGTGGGGTATTCCATAGGGGGTACAACCCAACTAGGGTTTCCGATTTGTACTCACTTCGTTCATAGTCATTCCATTCTTGTTCTAACTTTATCAAAAGTGCCAGTTGACGGCCCACTGTTCTGCTTTTTGGCAGGGAGGGTATGGGTTGGAAAGGTTTTTGTAGAGAAATCAAATGGGGGGATGAGAGTCAGGGTGAGCCACATCGCACGGTGATATGTAGCTGCCAAGGGGCATATGGTAGGGCATATTGTGTTTTCGAGTTGCACTGCATATACCATCTCTGTACTCGGCTAGGAGTTGATCGTCGTCGAACCAGGTCGTTGGGTGTAGCTCAGTGGGCAGGCTATCCACGAGATGGCTGTAATCGGCAAGGCCCATGCCGGTGTATGCTGCTGGCCTGAGAGTGGAGTTGATAGTTGACCTTGTTGAGGACAGCTGGTGGTTGAAGACTCCCATGGTTGACTTGTCATTGTGCAACCACAGCAGCTTCATTGCCTCAAGCCCTTCTGCAGACAAGTGGACAGAGAACGCTTCGAACACTTCCTTCGGTGCTGGGTAGTACTGTATTTTCTCCGGCGGGTTCAGAAACATGAGCTGAGAGCACACTAACTAGGCTTTGTTCTGCGCAGGGGTGTAAGGTATACAACACGACATGGAAGAGAGAAACCAGCAGTTATGAAGGTGGCCGCGTGACCATGGGATGGTGACTAGCAACACTGTTTGAACTTGCCACGTCACACCCTGCGCCATCCGACACGTCCACCAACAACCCAGCCCACTTGCCACGTCACACCCCCCTACCACAAGCCACGTCACCCCCCACCCACCTGACACGCCTCGCTTCGTCATGCGCAGTGGTCACGTGTACCATTTCTAACCGCCACGTCATCCCCAACCCTCACCTTTTGCCACGTCACACCCACCTGCATCCGCCACGTCATCCCCAACCCTCACCTTCCGCCACGTCACACCCACCTGCATCCGCCACGTCATCCCCAACCCTCACCTTCCGCCACGTCACACCCTCCTTGTCCGCCACGTCCACCAACCAGCCCCACGTGCCACGTCACACCCTCCTGCATCCGCCACGTCCACCAACAACCAGCCCCACGTGCCACGTCACACCCTCCCACCCCATGCCACGTCACCCCCCACCCACCTGACACGCGTTGCCTCGTCACGCGCCGCTCCCGTGTACCATTCCAAACCGCCACGTCAGCCCCAACCCTCACATTCTGCCACGTCACACCCTTTTGCATCCGCCAACAACCCGCCCTACTTGCCACGTCACACCCCCCACCAAGAGCCACGTCACCCCCCACTCACCTGAAACGCCTCGCGCCGTCATGCGGCACTCCCTTGCACCCTTTCACACCGCCACGTCATATGCCAACCCTCACCTTTTGCCACGTCACACCCAACCCGCATCCGCCACGTCCACCAACAACCCGCGCCACTTGCCACGTCACACCCACCCACCCCATGCCACGTCACCCCCCACCCACCTGATACGCGTCGCCTCGTCACGCGCCGCTCCCGTGTTCCCTTCAATACCGCCACGTCAGCCCCAACCCCGCCCTTGTTGCCACGTCAACCCCAACCCTCCCCATGTGGCCCGCCACATACCGGGAATGGGTTTGTCTCCTGCAACACTAGCACTCGTGCCTTGTCTACGGCGCTCATCGGCGGCGGGGTACCAGCCATAGGCAGGGCTGCCGACCAGCCGGCATAGCTAGCAGGTACTCCACGACGCAGGCCGAGCTGTGCAAACATGGCGTACATCTCAGACCGCAGCGCCTGGAACTCCTCCCGTGTAACAAAATGCTCGTGCTCCGCACTTTCACCTAGGGCACCCATGAGCGGAGGAAAAGGGTGTGAAGAATCCCCCCTCTGGCCAAGGGGATCAACGTCTTCTGCAGCAGTCCCGTGTGCCCTCACACTATCACGCTGGCGGGAAAAGGGGAGCTCAGGGAAGGGATTGGCATAACTGCCTGCCTGATGCCCGCGCGAAGGATCGGCGAGAGGGGAGACCGCCCTGCCCCGGACAGGAGAAGCGAGGAGTTGCCGAAATTGGTACGAGGGTGAGGCGAGTGGGGACTGCGTGATGGGGGGGGGGGGGTGGAGGGGATTCGGATTCCTCTCCTCTTGGTGCGCCTGGTGCCGTCGCAGCGACTTTGCTCGGGCCGGCCCATGGCGTGTAGTACCTTGGTGCTCTGGAGGAGAGCGGTGTAACACTCGCTCTTCCGGCAGCCTTCGTTAGATGCATTCGTTGCACGCTTACGGGCGGCCCAATGCCTGTAACGCGAGGGGCTGAGATGTAGAGGGAGCCGGAAAAAAAAAATAGAGTCGATCGGTTTCAAGGCGGGGCCAGACATGCATGCATATTCGGAAAGGTTTGAATCTAGATCGGGTTCAGGGTTGTACTGGTTTGAGACAAGAGGGTTTACCTTGCTTGGCAGATTCGTCGACCTTCTCCTTCCCTGCATGAGAGAAACAATGTGAAAAAGGGTGTTTTTTGGCACGGTTTAGTAGATGGTTCAACACGTCACGCCAGTTTTATTGGACACAATGCTCACCTTTCTGCTGTCCCTTCGGTTTTGAGGCAGCCTGCGCCTTCTCGTTGCCACCTTTCCGCGGGGTGCTTTGGCGGACGCTGCGACGTTTACCGACAGGTTCTTTCTTGCTGGTACCCACTAGAACCCCTTTGGCGCGGCCACCCTTTCCTCCTCCATCCCCATTTGCCGCCCTGGCTTCCTTGCTTTTTACCAACCCCTTCACTTTCGACCTTTACCTTACGCGCCTTCAGTTTGCCCAATGCTTCGCCGCGCGCAGCGTCAACTGCCCCGCGTTTTCGGGAAGGGCGAGTCCGGCCCCCCTCCTTCCCTGTACCACTCACCCGTCTGCCACGCCCGCCCCGTCCCTTCACTGGCGCCACATCCTCCTCCTCCTCCTCCTCCTCTTCCTCCTCCGCTGCCTCCTCCTCCTCCTCCTCCTCCTCCTCCTCCTCCTCCTCCTCCTCCTCCTCCTCCTCCTCCTCCTCCACATCCTCCTCCTCGTCGTCACCCTGCTCCTCCTACTCCTCCTCCTCCTCCTCCTCCTCCTCCTCCTCCTCCTCCTCCTCCTCCTCTGCCTCCTCCTCCTCCTCCTCCTCCTCCTCCTCCTCCTCCTCCTCCTCTGCCTCCTCCTCCTCCTCCTCCTCCTCCTCCTCCTCCTCCTCCTCCTCCTCCTCCTCCTCCTCATCCTCCTCCTCCTCCTCCTCCTCTTCGTCCTCCCCGCCATCATTCTCATCTTTTTCATCCTCCCCAACATCCGCGTCATCCTCCTCCGCTTCCTCTTCATCCTCCTCTCCCTCCGCATCCTCCTCCTCCTCCGCATCACTGGGGTCTTCATCGCCCCGTTTCGGCTTTGTTCCCGTCGCTGCTTTCTTGCCTCTCCTTCCGCCAGATGGTTTTCTTGCTGCGGGTCGGCCCTTCTGGCGCAATGCTTGACCGCCCGCCTTGCCACTAGCTTCATTGGCGCCTGGCGGTGTCCCAACTGCCGCGCCTCCGGCGTCGTCAGCACTACTTGTCGTCTGCCGCCTCTTCGCCCGCGTAATGAGGTCCCCGGGCACGGCGGTGTCATAATCGTCCTCCCCATCGCTCTTCCTCTGCCTACGCCTCCCCCGTCCACCAGAAGGTGGAGAGCCACCGACCAGCCCCACCGACTCGTGCTCCCCCACCTTGTCCTTATCCAGCACGGCTGCAGAAACTTCGACCACGGTCGGCTGGAGCAGCGTTAGATGGTGTTGCGTTGCCGCCGCCTCGGACTCCTTGGTTGCGGCATGCTCGGCGCGGGGATTGCCTCCGTGATTTCCCTCCGTCGCCGATCCCTCCATCTCCACCGACGGGAGTGCAAGACTCGCGCTCCCTCGCCCCGGATCTTCGTTGCCGCCAGTGGTGCCGTCTTTACTCGGACCGGGCTCGGTTCCAGCAGAGGCAACATCCGCATCTTTGTTCATTGTAGAAACACGCTTGCGAGGCGTTGGTTTAGGCCCCTTGTCTTCCGCTTTCTTGCCGGCCTCCTGTTGACCGCGCGCGACCTTTTTTGCCGCCGCATTTTTCTGCCCAATGCCACTAGCAACAGACGCATTAGTTTTTTTTGCGCCGCCACCACACTCCCTATTGATTTGTTTAGACGTCCTCCTTGTTGCGCGGCGGCCGGCCTGTTCTTCCTCCATTGCTTGGTTACGTGTTGCACGTGTCATGGTAATTGTAGGAGGAGCAAAGTTGCAAATCGCGCGGAAGGGTTGAGCCGGTTTCGAAAGGGTTCTGCAACTGAATCCCACGGTGGGATTATCGACGGTCTATCACTGTCATGTGTTTCAGAAAACCGCCGCTTCAACTAAATCTGTCATAGTAGCCACTATGCTTCGCGCTAAGGCCGATCTGGAGAGGCGTGTGTCAAGGCAACGAGCAGCGTCAAAGTGTTGGTCCAGGGAGTGACGAAAGCAGGTGGGTGGGACACGAGGGTGGTTGGGGTAGGTTGCGAGACTAGAGAGTGTAATGTAACCCTATCAGGCTATATTGGACGGTGTACGTGTAGCCACCCTAGCATAAACCCACCTACCGCTCGATCTCAGCCGCTCAATGGCTGAAGTACCTCTTGGCTGATGACTGTGTTGCGAGGGGAATCGTTTGAGATGCGTCGGCCAATCACGGTTGCCAACGTATAAATCACTAAATTTTATTCAAACATACAACAATGCATTTCATCAAACTCTAAGTTGCAAATGGTTTACCACGGGGTTGGGGTAAGTTAATCGGTGATTCTTACGTCACACACACAACGACCGTCCAGAATTACTACTTGTGACTGATGTACCGTGCACTTTTAGGCTTTGGCACAATGGTTTAGGGCTAGCGGACGACATTCTAACACGATTATCAATAGTAACAAACGTGAATCCGTTGTGGTATGGTGTTGCATTGTCATCCATTCTTGCACAGACATTAAACAAGGTGCTTAGAAGGAGTGGTATGAAGCACAGGCCCAACGCACAAGCGTAGATGCCTTATCGACAGCCATGGTTAGACTGTGCGACGATGCAGCGTTCAGGCCTGCGGGTTGCGCGACATGGTGAATCCGTAGTGGTATGGTGTTGCATTGGCATCCATTCTTGCACAGACATTAAACACAGTGCTTAGAAGAAGTTGTATGAAGCACAGGCCCAACGCACAAGCGTAGATGCGTTATCGACAGCCATGGTTAGACTGTGCGACGATGCAGCTTTCAGGCCTGCGGGTTGCGCGACATGGTGAATCCGTTGTGGTATGGTGTTGCATTGTCATCCAACATTGCATGGACATTGAAACCGTTGTGTTATTGTACGACATTGTCATCCATTCTTGCATATTCATTCAGCACGGTGCGTAGAGGTACACTACACCTTGAGAGAAGACACGCTATAGGTATTCGCTCCACGCAACAATCGTATGTTAGGGCATGGAGTTATTGGGTACTTCCCGTATCGTTATCACGTAAGGGTTGTTCAACATCAGTCCTAAGGATATGAATGTTTACTAGTTATGAATGACTTGAGTGTCTTATTAAGTTGTAATTGTACATTTGCATTTCCATGTTTGTTTGAAGCCTCTTGAGCTCACCTACGTGATTCTGATTTCCCCCCTATATCGATTCGCGACACAATCACAGATCCAAACAGATCTCTTCCCGCTCTTCCTCATCCCCCTCGACTCTCACGCACGGTTCCTAAACACTAGTTCTTGATTCAATAGGCACGTCCTTCTCACCATGCTCGCGACGCACACACACGACCGTGAGACTTAAGATCCTCCGCATTCTCCTCTACTCACGTCGTGGTCACTCTTAACGGGGGCGACACGCCTTGTAGGGAAGACGGCCCGTGAGGTGGGCGGTCTGTATCATGCCTGGTAACGACCACGCGGCTCGACATCGTTAGCCAGTCATAAACATTAGCGCCAATCTCAAGTGCCAGTCGTACAGTGATACAAGCCGCCCACCACAGTGCGCGCATTGGCGATGATCGTGTAGCTGTCATAGGCTTCTTGAACGGAGTACTTAATGCGTTCACAAGCTTCAACACAACTAGTAGCTTCATAGGCAATTTCTCGACTCTACAACGGATCCGTAACACATGGGCTCTTTACCAGGCGTCGTCTGCGAGTTCTGCAACAGATGGTTCCCCAACGCCCAAGTTTATGGCGGTCATAAGTCACGGCGGACCCCTTGCCAAGGACTATCCGCCGTGGCAAGGCCGACGCGATCTGCACCGACCGCCGGTCTTCACGCTCTGCTATTCGTCCACGACATTCTGTCGGACGCTCCAGCCGCTCCCGGTTCACCTACAGCGTCTAACGCATCCAACACCGTCTGTGTGAGCGGTCCTCCACGCGTGCCTGAAGCTCACGTTGACAAAACTCCCAACGACGTGAACGAGAGGCCTCCTGAAGATGAGCATCAACCACAACCAGGAGCTCCTGTGGCTGACACGAGTGACCATCCTAAGAGCCGGCCCGAAGGGAGTCATGCCGTGCCGCCAACAATCATCTCCAGACAGAGCAATGCCACGCCCCTCAATCCGCTCGCGTTGAAGGTGCTGCATTTCGTTCGGCGCGTGAATGGCGGAATGGGAATGGCCGAGGTTGACATCAACGGCCTGCTTCAGCTAGTCGTAGAGCCCGGCTTTGCGCCTCTTGTGATCTTGGAGCTCCGGAACTGTAAGGATCTGGAGCGGTTTGAGATGGAGCGTTTGGCAGGGCTCAATCGCGGATGGTCGGTGGCGACCTTCGAGATTGACGGTCATCCACCACAGCGCTTGCTCTTTCAGAACTCAGCCCAGGTAAGCCGACTTTGCATTCAAGGCCGTGAAATGATGATGAGACACATAGGGTTTGCGTGTACGTAGTTATCCTTGTATTAACCGTACACCCACCTTCACCGCCACTAACCATGCCTCTCCTCTCACCTGACTTCACCACCGTACACCAGGCATTCGCTGAAAAGTTTGGACATCCCAACAACGCGCCCGGCTTCAAGCTCAAGGCGCGTGTTGATGAGGACCCTGATGCAGGCAGCCGTCGCTATACCACGCCTGAAACAGGAACGTGGTGGAACGATGCTCAGGTAAGGAAAGACCACGTTGCCACCCCAAACCCAATCCTTCCTCATGCCTCCATCGCTGCACTGATCTGTCAAGAGCATCTTGAGCCCTAAACCGTGTGTCCGTTGCCGCTTTGTCGTGCACTGCGAGAACACTTCGGTTGGTCCGAAGTTGTGGGGGGGGATCATCTTATATTCGGATGTGACGCACATGAGCATCAACGACCGGAAGAAGGCGTGGCCGCTCGTGATGACGCTGGCCAACATCTCCCAGGCCAAGCGATGGGGGAAAGCCGGGCACACACTACTTGCCCTCCTTCCTATCCCCCGTCTGCAATGTCTGCCGTGGAGAAGGTGATGCTCTTCCAGCGTTGCGTCATCACCGTGCTGCAGCCGCTTCTTGATGGCATCGCCAGGTCCGTACTCGGTTTGCATCTTGCTAAGACATCATCTCACCACCTGCATGGTATGCAAACCCTCTCTGTATGTAGCATGGCCCTTTGCCCCTCGTTGTTCCTCCCTAAAAGCCGTAACCCGAATTCCTGTTGCCCCTCTACCTGTTCCTTGCTGCAGGTTCCGTCTCAGGGACCCTTTCGGTGATTGGCAAACCGTGCGGCCCCTGCTGTATGCCTGGGTGTGCGACTACCCCGAGAGCAGCAAGATCAGTTGCACACTCTCACATGGATCGCGGATGCCGTGCAGCATCTGCTATGCTGCAAAGGTGAGGTCACATGCCATCTGCATGCATTCAAATACATTCTCGTTTGTGGGTCGCCTGATAGAACCCACATAGCTACCACCTTTACCTTTTCTATCCCATCCCTCACCCCCGTGCTACAACAGGAGCATCTGAGTGATGTCAAGGCACGGAACACGCCGTGCACGCCTGAACAGCAGCAATGGATCGTTAACGAGGCGGCTGGGACGATAACTAGCCAGGCTGACCCGTGCAAGGCCTACTCTACCTACCCTGTTGAGGTGAGTGACCTGTTTCCCCGGCCCATGAGTAGTCTATGCTCTCGCCCGCCCCGTCATGAATTGCCAGATGTGCTCTGCCCCATTGAACTCACCCCACTTGTGGTTTAGGTTAGCTATCCACTCTCACGTACATCTCTCCTCCATTCCCCACCACATCCCCATTTCCAGTGCATGCTCTGGAAGTGGGATGTCCCAAGGACTGCGTGGGGCAATCCCTACCTCGTGGTGATGCCTGACATCATGCACCAGGCGGACCTGGGCATCATGAGCCACATTGTGGCTGTCATGCGCAAGATGAAGAAGCGGCGTGTGAAGCAGATGGACAGGTCAGTGTTTTGGGGATTGGATTCGTTGCTCTTCGTCACATTTACTCAAACCATAAGTTCTGTCCTATTACTGACATGTTTCTGCCCTTTTGCCACCGCTGAACTGATGTGTATGGGCAGGCGCCTGTCTCTCATTGGCGACCGCACGCGCCTGAATCACATGCGCCTGCCGGAGAGCGCCTACTTCGAGACCGGAGCATGTGTGGCGGCCTATGAGCACAGGGCCGTCATGGAGGTATGAACTCTCCATTCCTTGTTGCTTGTCCTGGCCTAAACCCTCAAGCAGTCTGCTCATGCTGCCATTGTTTGTCCCAACTCCTCACACCATCTGTGCTCACCCTCCCCTTTGCTGCTATCCACATTCTTTGCAGGTCATGGTGTTTGTTTTTGCAGGCCTACTTCGCCAGCCCCAGATGGAAGCCGTTCGTGCCTATCTTGGCTGGTACATCCTGTGCTCCCAGCCTCAGGGGCACACTGAGCGGTCCCTTCGGGAGCTGAAGAAGATGACCTCTCGGTAATAATACCACGCATGTAAACCCCCGTGCATGGGATGAATGCTTGGCTACTGTAAATGTGCTCTTGTAGTAGGCAATCTTGTGAGGATTTTTGGTGCTAAACTTTGATAGGAAAGGATCAGGAATAGGAAAACCATATGAATAAGTAGACTCTGTGATTGCATGTGTTGTCATCTCCCACTCCCATCAGACTCGTTGAGCAGTTGCAGGCTGCGTTTCCAAAGCAGCCATCCTCTTGGTGCCTTGTGAAAACACATCTCATGTCGCACTACGTTGACTCCATACGTCGCACGGGTCATGTGACTGAATTCAGCACCAACATGTTCGAGCACTTGCACGGACCGTTGGTAAAGAGGATCTACCGTCGGTCCAACAAGCGCAATGTAGATGGGCAGATCATGAAATTCCATGCTAGGCGCATTCCGGATGTGGTGCCGGTGGATGATCCTGCTGGCCGGGACACCGCCATGCGGCAGGTAAATATGTTTAGTGCTTGAATTGCATGGATATGAATGCAGAATGTAATAATATTAATAGCATATGTTGGCAGGCGATTGAGACCGACACACGGACGCTCATCAAGGAGTCATACTTCCTCCCTGTGGAGTTACCACAAGAACCCACCTCCACCAACTGGTTTGCAAGGAAGTGGGCCAAGCAACACCCTCGTGCCCAAGCTGCCCTCAAGGATGCGCTTATGCGTTATGCAGGATGCGTCACCAAGATTCGAGTAAGTAGTTGCAAGTTTATGCAATCAACCATAATTTGGCTGGCTCGTATCATACATGACTAACATCAACTGTTATGCAGGCCCATGCATCGCTGGCAATCCCTGCAGCAGACGACGCCAGCTTCTCAAGAGTTTCTCACTTCGTTCGAGCGACCCCTGACTATTTTGAGAGGCCATGGTACTCGGATGTTGCAGTGGAGGGTGTAAGGTATGGTCAGAGAGAGGAGTGGTATGCAAGGTTGCTTCTGTTGTTCCATACAAAAATACGTGGAGAGAGGGAAGAGCTGGCTTACGTTAGAAATTGGAATGCAAGCGGAGAGGATACAGCAACAGGATGCCTTCGCCTCAAGTGGACGACATGAATGTACGCGTACTCCGTGATTCCGATTGAAGCGCTGCTCCGCCACGTCCATGTGGTGAAGGCATTCCACCTGGACAGTACCTATCTCCTTAATAAGTATCAAATGTGATGCATTTATCTTGTAATAAAATGGCCAGCATATTTTCAAGCACACACATTTTAGGGAAGTCAAAGCTTAAAAAACCAATTACAAAATCACAACATCTTGGCACGCTTCAAATAAACGGCAATGTACCGGAGTCGCGGATTCGATCTAGAGTTCGACAAACAAACGCGGTCCGATTTCATTTCGTGATTGGTCGCGATTTGGCTTCGGAAATTCGCCAACCAAAACACCTGAACTGTACCCCCCTTCGAACCCCCCTCAAAAACCAACGTTTTTTGTGATGTGGATATGCTTCGGGTGTTCGGGTGCATGTGCATGGCGCTCGTGCCTAAGCATCTTCGGCACAACAAGCTTGGTGCCAAGGCGATATGGGCTGTGCACTTTGGCATGGCTCAAAAAAGCAAGGGGTGGCTTCTTTAGGACCCATTAACTAATAAATTCTTGGTGAGCTGGGACTGTAAGTTCATGGAGAACCTGATGTACAAGGATTGGAAGGCGGAGAATGAGGCGAAGATAGGCATGCGGTTTGGAGAGGTGAAGAGTTCGGGCTTGGAGCATGTGAAGCTGCCTTTGGAGCTGAGCAGCGGCAGCACCACCACAAGGCAATCTTCCTTAGTGAATGGGGGAGAGGAGGCCAAGTATGCAGAGGAAGAAGAGGAGGAGGTGCAGCAAGAGAGCGAGCGTGCACCGACACTTCCTTCATGCGCTACAAGTGCTCCACGGATCCGAGTCACCCCGCAGCAACGCCAAGGCCTTCAAGTCCCTGCAGTTGAGGAGGAAGGAAGGGGCAAGAGGAGAGTTCAAGCCCTTAATAGGCTGACTTATGATGCACCGGGAAAGCAGGGCAAGTCAGCCTTGTATCAAAGTTACTAGGAAGAGTTAGGCTTAGGAGCCTTGGTTGAGTTCGAGTTAGGAGAGTATCGAGTGAGTTGAAGAGAGAAGAGGAGGGTTTTCACTATAGAGCGAGCAGTACATATAGGCAAGATGAAAGGTGCACCACCAAAACAGAACATTATATAACTACACTAGTCTACACTACAGGCAATTACAAAACAATATATAGATTTATATATTATTCTGACACCTTGGCCAGAGCGGCAATGATGGTCTGAGATGATGAGGAAAGCGACTACGAGGAGTGTGCCTTCGTGTTATTCTTTATGGTGGAGATGCCGGGGGAACCAGCAACTCTCAAGGAGGCCTTGAAGAGTTGTGATGCTGAGGAGTGGAAGAAGGCAATGGAGAGCGAGCTGAAGAGCATTGAGGAGAAAGACACGTGGGAATTGGTGGAGCTACCGGAGGAGCGTAAGGCGATTACGCCCAAGTGGCTCTTCAAGATCAAGTCGAACGCCGACGGCAAGATCGTGTTAGAAGGAAATGCTGCCATAAGAAACAAAATGTCTGTGCTGGGATTCGAACTCGTGACCTTCAAATCTGTCCTGAAAGTGTCTCCGGACGGATTTAGGACAGTTTCTGCTAAGGCGGTAGTTATGGTGTACGCGAGTTTCGAACTGGAGACCTTTCGATTCAAGTATTCCGAAAGTGTCTTGTTAGGACAGATTGGGGACAGATCGGGGACAGATTGGGGACAGTTTGGCGAAATCGATCCCGGGTTGCGTTCGGTTTGAAACTCGGCAGCGAAGTGTTGAAGTTAACGGAATTCGCACGGGAGTTACAGTTGGTGGTCAACGGAATTCTTGTCACGGAAATACTCGTCTACGGAATTCCAGTCAATGGAGTTCGCTCGGCAAAATTCAAGGCTCCGAATTTCGCATCGACGAAACTCAACGTGCGATCCAGGTTGACACTTTCTTGTGTGCTTTCATTTTCTATAAAACCAGAGAGCACAAACCAGAAATCAATGAAGTCATTATCACTGCTATGTTTGTGTGTATCTCTGGCTATAGTGGACCGTTTCCTGCAATCTTTGGTGCGTTGGAATCGTGCTTTCAAGCTCTATCAAGCTGCTATAGTAGTGAAATTCCAAATGGTATCAGAGCTGCGTTATCTGCGTCGATCCAACTAGCGGCATGATTCCGTCCTCCCATCACTTTGTTCCCATGTTGGTGTGGCCGACGCTCGGTTTGACCGCAGATGGATTGGTTAATGAGCGCCAAAAGCCTGAATTTCTGTCAGGAGTTGGGCGCATCTGTTTGTGAGCACCACCCTAACTTGCGTGAAGACGAGGGCAACCTCATTGTGGACGGTCGTCTACTACGCATGGTTTGGGAGCTCTTGGCTGAGCAAGCACCTGCGAGCGGCCAGCAAGGAGGAACCGGTGAAGGAGGAGCTGTGCACGAGGCTCCAAGTGCCGAGGGCGTTGGTGGAGGAGCTGTTGCACCGACCATTGACACGGGAATGATCAGGACGAGCTGCGACCAATTCAAGTTTGGAGTAGAGCACATCTCCGTGACGCCGCTGCTGGAGGGAAGGCACGACCTTACCGCATGGGTCAGCGCCACCCGACCTCAGCTCCAGTGCGCTGATTTGTGGCAGTTTTGCAACGGGACAGCACCAAGCTCGGCCCCAAACAACCCTTTGTAACGAAGGGAGTATGCAAAGGGCCAAATGCTTGCATTCATTAGTGCTGAACCGATGTATTTCTCCACCCATCCGAATGTCCATCTCTGGTTTCTCACAGCAAGAGAAAGCCGGGCAGCTAGCATGAGGATATATCTTGTCTACTTATCAAGTTCGTGATGCCCTCCATCCTTCCCTACTTCTGACCCAGTTAGCCCAACTCAGGAAGGGAGATGATGAGACGGCGGAATCCTACTGCAATAGGACCCGCACCATCCGAGCGGAGCTGCTGACCATCGGACAGGAGGTCCACATGGCCACGTTTGCCGCTCACATGCTGAAGGGTCTGCCACCGGAGTACGGATTTCTTCGCCGCAAGCTCGACATTTCCAGCCCTGACATGACGGTGGAACGCGTGTGCAGCGAGGTATTGATGGAGGAGCAGACTCTCTCCATCAAACAGAGCTAGAAGCAGATCACCAGTGATGCATCGGCTTTCTCTGGCACTGTCAACACGATCGTGGCTACAACAGGGGTCAAAGGGAAGGAAGGGAAAGGAGGAAGGGAGCAGATGGACAAGAAGAAGGGCGGCAAGTGGGAGAAGAAGCGAGCCCCCTTCAAGGGGCGCTGCTACAACTGCAAAGAGGAGGGGCACATGGCTGCCAAGTGCCCCAACAAGAAGAAGGATACAACACCCGCGGCAGCCGCGAACGTAACCGAAGGAGACGAGAAGGGCGCGTCGCTCACCGTCGCGTGTTCGGCTGCAAAGTTGCTGGCCGACAAAAAGGTCTTGTGGTTTCTTGACTCGGGATGCTCCCAGCACATGACCGGTCGCAAGGAGTGGTTTACGGTGATCCGTGACCCATCTGCAATGAAATCCGTCAAAGGGTTTGATGGGTCTTTTAGGAAGTTGCCGGTGTTGGCGAGGTTTTGCTGCAGGGCACTTATGGCTTGCGTGTGACTTTGCATGATGTCCTCTTTTTGCTGAAGGCCAACTTGGTCTCTCCTGGGCAGCTCATGGACGAAGGAGAAAATCTGCAAGCCGAAGAAGGTGTCATCCGCATCATCGCGTCGGGAGGACAAGTGGCTGCAATGGCACGCTACCGCCATCGTCTTCTCTGCCCTGACCTGAAACCGTGGCCAGCAAGCAACGGCACAACGGCAGCAGCGGCATGCAATGGCACGATGGCATGCAACGGCACGACGACTGGAGCAACATGCAACAATACGATGGCTGCGGCGGCACGCAACGGTACATTGGCTGCGGCAGCAGTAGTGACCTGCGACGGCATGTCTAAGGCAATTGCTGATGTGGCATCAGGCGAGCCGAAAGAGCATGACGAAGCGGCCAGCCTCACAGCATATTCAGTGGGGACTGAGGCGATGCTCAGCCTGTGGCACACTCACCTTGAGAATGACCATGCTGGTGCGGTGAAGTGGACAGCCACAAACGGTGGTATGCCAGGCATGGACCTAGCAAAAGGAGGGGAGGACAAGTCGAGCGCCTCCTCCTAAGAAGCCAAACTCACTCGTCAAACACTTCCACTGCCTGAGGAGCGAGAGGGGGAGGTTCTTGGGATGTTCCACTCGTCACGTACCGTCATCATGTTCCCGGTGCTATCCGTGCAAGGGGGCGAACAACCGTTTGATCGTTCGGTTGACCCTGCGGGCAGCAAGGGAACCATGGCTCCGCCACCTCTCTGTCCATTCTTAGCTGCTGGCTTGGCACCCGTGGGACCAGAGGTTGGTCCCTCAGCAGATGAGCGTCGTGCAGCCGATGAAGACAGGGAAGGAGAGGCAACGGACCTGAAATCGGCGGCAACCCATGGGAAGGACCCCATACCCACGCTTCCGCCCCTCCAACCCACTCCCCCACCCCCATATCATTCCAGCAGGCCTAACAAGGGGGTGCCACCCGTACGGTTTCAGCCATCAGCCATGACGGCTCTGGATGCGGATGATGAGGACAACCCGTACGACGTGGCGTACCCTGCTAAGGACGATTGCGACACGGACAGCGATGACGAAGTGGAGTACCCGAACGACGATGAGGAGGAGGAAGACACTTGAGGAGGTGTCATCCTCGACCTGGCACCCGCGTTGACCGGACCTGAAGGCAAGGAATGGTGGGCTGCTATGAAGGAGAAGATGGAGAGCCTTGATGAGCAAGGCACTTGGACGTTGGCTGACCTACCCAAAGGTTGCAAATCCGTTGGCGTCAAGTGGCTGTTGAAGAAGAAGCTGCGTCCCGATGGCACCGTGGAGAATTACAAGGCCAGGCTTGTGTCTAAGGGTTTTAGCTAGCACTTCGGCATTGACTACGATGACACCTACGCTTCTGTTGGCAGCTACACCACCATTCGCATGCTCCTCTCAATCGCAGCAGCTATGGACCTGGATTTGCTGCAGCTTGATATGAAAAATGCATTTCTGCACAGCACCATTGACCACAAGATCTACATGCAGCAGCCGCCCTACTTCACCTACGGTAGCAGCAAGGTGTGCCTCCTGCAGAAGAGTCTTTACGGGCTAAAGAAGAGTCCTCTTCTGTGGTACAAGGAGTTGGACAAGGTGCTCCTTGTGGAGGGGTACAAGATGAGCCTTGTGGACCAGGCCCTATACTACAAGGATGGGGTGAGCGGGAAGCGCGTGTGGCTGCTAATCTACGTGGATGACCTGCTAGCGGCAAGTGAAGACTAGCAGCTGCTGCAGGACTTGAAGGGGCTGCTGGCCAAGGCGTTTCAGCTCCGTGAGGTGGAGCCAGTGGAGCGCTACTTGGGGCTGCAGATTGTGCAAGATCGCCCCAACAGGACACTCCTCCTGCATCAGAGTGCGTACGTGGCAAAGGTGCAGCAGCGGTTCTTCAAGGGGGCGCGATCTCCTCTGCCAGCTTTGCCAAGCATGATGCCTGGCAGTTTGCCAACCGTACGGTGACCAAGTACTTCTCAATTCTTGGCATGGTGCAGTTTGCAGCCATCTCAACCCGTCCTGACCTCTCTTTTGCATGGTGTCTCCTTGCAGCAGGTGCACATCTCAGGATGGATGCGCATTGGCATGAGCTCTTCCGCACACTCTCCTACTGGGCTGCCTCACCGGACAAGGGGCTGCTGTTCAAGGGAGGACCAGAGAGTTTGACTCTCGTGTGGTATGCGGATGTAGATGATGCAGGCGATAAGGAGAACCGGTCGTCCACGGGAGGCTACCTCTTCAGGCTTGGCGGAGCTGCCGTTTTATGGTAGGCCAAGAAGCTACAGGGTGCGACCAAACTTTCCTCCACCTAGAGCGAGCTTGTGGTTGTGGTGGAAGCGGGAAAGGAAGGGCGCAAGCTAAGGTTCCTGTTGTGGGAGTTTCAACTACTCAAGAAGGGTGTTTCCACCACCCTGTACATCGACAACATGTCAGCGGTGCAGCTCAGCCAGGCGGGCGGGCTGTAGGGGCGCATGAAGCATGTGGACCGTCGCCACATGTGGCTACAGGACATGGTGTGCATGAAGAAGTTGGAGCTGCAGCACATCCCTACGACGGCGCAGCCCACGGACTTCTTCACGAAGCGGCTCGACAAGGCAGCCTTCAACTGATGATGTGCAGCAGTCGGGCTGGTCCAGCGTGCTCCTGACAGCAAGGGGGTGTGTTAGAAGGAAATGCTGCCATGAGCAACAAAATTTCTGTGCTGGGATTCGAACTCGTGACCTTCAAACCTGTCCTGAAAGTGTCTCAGGACAGATTCAGGACAGTTTCTTCTAAGGCGCTGGTTATGGTACATGCGAGTTTCAAACTGGAGACCTTTCGATTCAAGTGTCCCAAAAGTGTCTTGTCAGGACATATTGGGGATAGTTTGGGGATAGATTGGGGACAGATTGGGGACAGTTTGGCGAAATCGATCTCGGGTCGCGTTCGGTTTTAAACTTGGCAGCGAGGTGTCGAAGTCAACAGAATTCGCATGGGGGTTACAGTCGGTGGTCAACGGAATTCTTGTCACGGAAATTCTCGTCTACGGAATTCCAGTCAATGGAATTCGCTCGGTGAAATTCAAGGCTCCGAATTTTGCGTCGACGAAATTCAACGTGCGACTCGGTACGACACTTTCTTGTGTGCTTTTATTTGTTATTGCGTCCTAGTATAAACCCAGAGAGCACAAACCAGAAATCAATTAAGTCATTATCACTGCTATGTTTGTGTGTATCTCTAGCTATAGTGGACCGTTTCCTGCACTATTTGGTGCGTTGGAGTCGTGCTTTCAAGCTCTATCAAGCTGCTATAGTAGTGGAATTCCACAGATCGAGTGCTACAATTCTAGGCTTATGGCCAAGGGTTATCAGTAGAAGGAGAAGGTGGACTTCCAGGAGTTGTTTGCTCCTGTGGTGAAGCCTACAATGCTACGGACCCTACTCGTGGGAGCTGCCATCAAGGGATGTGTGGTGAAACAAATGGGCGTAACAACCGCGTTCCTCAACGGCATTATCGAAGAAGAGATTTTCTTGGCGCAGCCAGAGGCATTAGATGCTGGTAGTGGCAGAGTTTGAAGTTGAAGAAGGCCTTCTATGGGCTGAAGCAGGCCCCTAGGCAATGGTACTTGAAGCTACGAGAAGTTTTGGAGGAGATCGGCTACACTCCCTCAACGGCCGATCACTCCTTGTTCATGCTTGGCGAGGGGGAGCTGAGGAGCTTCAAGGTGGTCTATGTAGATGACATCCACATCTTCTCACCCTCCTCTGATCTTGTGAAGGAGGTGATGCTGAAGCTCTAGAACAAGTTCAAGTGTAAGGCCCTTGGTGACGTCAACTTCTACCTCGGGCTTCATATCGAACGTGACGTGGAGAAACGGTGCATGCGGATGCACCAACGCAAGTACCTGGAGGCGTTAGCTGCCAAATTTAGGCAGAGTGAAGTTTATGTGGCTACCTCCTTTCTCTCTGGGTTCAAGTGTGTGAAGGGACCAGAGGAGGAGAGCGTTGGTGAAGAGGAGAGGCGTCGTTTTCACTCATTGGTGGGCAGCCTCATATGCGGCAATAAACACACGGCTGGACGTTGCCTTTAATACCGGACAGCTGGCTAGGGTTTTGCAATGCCCTAATGAGGATCACGTAGCAGATAGAATGAGGGTGGCCAATTACCTTGGCCAAACACTGACCGTTGGGCTGCAATACTCGGCGGCTGCGGAAAGGCGCCAAAAGGGCGCGGATGGTGTAGAACCCGGGCGTTTGTTCCTCACCGCCTACTCAGATGCATCATATGCATCTGAACCAGAGGACATAACACGTGTTGGAGGGTTCATTTGCTATGTTGGTGGAGGCCCAAGTGCTTGGGAGAGCAAGAAGCAGGTGGACCAAGCATTGAGCTCGGTGGAGTCCGAGTACATGGCACTATTCCGTGCCGTACGGGAGATTGTGTCGCAGCGGTGTTTGTTGGTTGAATTGGGGGAGGAGCAGCAAGGACCTACCTCACTCTAATCTAACAGCCAGGGTGCCATTGCTCTTGCTAAGAACCCTGTGTTGCACGGCCTCACCAGACACATGAGGGTGTAGTGGCGTTGGACGAGGAGCATGGTGGCCGCGGATGAAGTTGAGCTGCGTTACATGAAGACGACAGGGCAGTCGGCAAACATGATGACCAAGAGGCTAGTGGAGCAGCAGCATTGGAAGTGTTGCAAGCTGTTTGGAATGGCTTTGAACTGAGAGCAACGGATCGCCAACTATTCGAGGGGGAGTTTGTTGGTGCAACCTTGCGGTTTGCACTCGGCTTGTTGTCCATGTGCGTGCATGTGTGTGTGCATGGAATGGTATGAGGGCATGAGAAAAAAATTATATATATTTCATGCATATAAAAGTGTGTGAATGACGAGTCGTGATGTTGAATGTGTGTGTGTCAAGTCAATAGCGAGTCATTGCTAGTTGCGTGCCTACGTCGTTGTTTGTGTGTCTCGCGCGGTTTCTATTTTGACGTTTGTGTGTGTCGCGCAGTTTCTATTTTGTCAGTGTGGAACGTTTGGTGTGTCGCAGGTGTGTGCAGCAGACCCATCAAGAACTCAAGGATGAGTTTATGATGAAGAACCAGAGCCTTGGTTTCAACATTCAAGCGATCGCGAAGCCCGCGAAAAGGGTACAGCTCAAGATATTGAGAATAGTTACATTACTTTGTGTAGTGTAACATTTCACATAGTGTAGGCCCTTGTGAAGGGTAGTTTCGAGACCCTTCGTGGTTGGGGACAGTGTGGCACTGTTCCCCATCACTGTACCTCGGCTCTTGGGGTTTGTAGGAGTTGGGAGTCATTCCCAACTCGTAACTCTTCCTAATTTGTGTTCTAAGACTATAGTGGCTACCATAGTGCCGTTCGTTCAAACCAATGTTGTGTCGTCATTACTTGGTGAAATCGTACGATCTAAATTGCCTATTGTATGGGACGTTAAGACGCTCTGGATCAAAGTTCAATCAGGTCATTTGAAGCTGTGACCAAAACGCTATGAGCGTTTAAATCCGCTGCGCAGAAATCCGGCTGTGCACTCTATCTTTCGTTTTAGGCACATTTGAAGCCTGCTGTGACTACAACACAATATAGCATCCCGCACACTCCAACCCCCGTAGCATGCTGTCCATGACCCTCTAAAACACGGCTGATGCATTCCTCAGCCCGAATGGCATATACAACCACTCATACAGCCCGTCCGGCCCATGAAAGGCCATTTTCTTGATGTCTTTTTCCCTAATCTTGATTTGGTTGAACCCTTGCCTCAGGTCCAGGGTCGTGAAGAACACTCCCTCTGCTAGCTTGTCAAAGGTCTCCTCAGCCATCGGCATCGGGTACCTGTCTGCTATAGTGATCTTGTTAAGTGCCCTATAGTCCCCGCACATCCTTTTGCTCAGCACCTCCCCCATAAGGTCCTTCCTGGCTGCCACCACCGTCGGCGTGGCGTACTCTGATTCTGAGCTCCTTATCATACCTGCTTCCAGCAGTTCCTTGATCTTTTCCTTAAATATCTCCTCGTCCCCAAGTGGCATCTTCCTCCTGCAGTGGAACACGGGCTCCGTGCTGCTCCGTTTCAGCTCCATCTCCTTCACCTTGCATCTTCCCA